CTTTTAACTCAAAATTTAAAATCATCCGAACCACGTGTGTATTGGATATAATTACATGTATTATATATATATATATAATGCTATCCTATACATTAAATATGAAAAAATATATATATAATTATTATTATATTATTAGTATAAATGGAAACAAGAGAAAATTATAAATAATAATGATAGTGGTAGATAAAGAGACAAATAACTGAAAATATGTAAATGATAAAAATAATTAAAAATAATTGATTAATGAATAAATATGGTAGATGAAGAGGCAACCAAAGAAAGAAAAATGGAAACAAAATTATCCAACAAAAAGAAGATGAAAAGTCAAGTGTTAACTATTTAAGCTCCTTACATTTTTCCATTGTTATTTTGTTTTAAAGATTTTTCTAAATCCAAAATTTAGCTGCAGGGTATAGTTGTTAGGATTTCATTTTCCCAATATAACCAGCTATTTAATCTTAATTGCCAATTTGTTTTTTCCTTAATTATATTACATTTTATCTCACATTTTGAAATATTTTGTTGCTAAAATTTTTAAAATATTTATAGGTAAATTAAAGCAAAAGATATGAAATATGTATTTCTTGATCAACTTTAGTTTCTCCCCAATAACAAAGATTCGAAGATTAAAGTGTGAATATGTAGATTATATGATGGTTTTAGTTTGAAACATGACAAAGATCATCTAACAACTAAAATGATGTTCATCTATGAAAGGGTAATTTTATGAGTTATTAAATTCGGTTTTTTATATATTTAATGATTTCTATTAACAATTATTATTTTGTTTGCAGAAAAATTTTATTCATGCTTTGTAGTTCCAATACCCTGCGATTTAAAGATAAGTTGATTGAAAGGAACGTTTATCACATGAAAAAAATTTCTATAGAAAAAAAATACTAACACATATTGTTGTTTCTTATAACAATTACAGAATCAAATTCCATTTTGATACTATAATCAAAGAATTGAATGAAGAAGTCTCAGTAATTCCAAGATTTGTATTTGAACTCACCAACTAAGAAAACCTACTTGAGAAAAAAAAAAATCTTTTCTGTGGTATTTTTTTTTATCTTAATATAATTTTATTAAATGAACATATGATTCATTTTTATTAAAAATACTTTTATTAAAACTCTAGATGTTATTAGGGTTTTAGTTGGTGTTGGGACTACACAAAAAAAGCGAGCAAATGGTTGTAATATTGTTTGCATGAAGTGACATATTGAATATCAGAGGTAATTCATATTGATGTTATTGCTTGATATGTTCGAATTTCATTTCTCTTTAATTAAATAAAATATGATTTTTAATCAATTAATTGTAAATAGTTGTTTGATATTGTTTTAAATTTATTGAAGGAAAAACCATTTAAGCACAACACTTTGATATTTCATGGTAAATCAAATTTGAGCAAATTAAAATTTTCTAATGACTTAAATGTGGAGACTATTATATTTACATTTATAATGGTAAAGATAATAGAGATAAGTATATAATGAAGTTTATAATTTTCTATAAAAATAAAAAATTTTACAAATTGTGTAACTTAATTTTAAAATAAACTATTTTTTATTAGGATATGTTTCATTATTGGATGCTCAATTTATGAAAATTTATATGAATGGCAATATTTCTAAAATAGTTGATCTGGAAGGAAGTATTGAGTAAAAAATAATTTGACTTTATAAATTTAAAATTATTTAAGATATTAACATATAGATTTTTTCAATGTTATTTTTTAATGTTATTTGTAGAGAAGTAAAATCATTAACTCTCAATGTACAACTAATTATAGTACAAAACAATAACAATAATATGAAAAATGTCACATATAATGTTACAATTTATGATATGTTAATACATTAAAAGGTTTTTTATTATATATATTTTTTAAAATTGAAGGATAATTGTATTGGTTAATTGATCTTCATAGACATTAATACCAATCAAATAAAATATGTTTCATTTCTATTTTCTACAACA